TTCTTATTCAGATTATTCCTGTTTTTCTCCCACTGTAAACTACTCTACTTAGATACTTAGCACTGTTTTGAATTGGTTTTAGCAGCTTTGCATCCTTTATTGGTCTTGCATAAATTATATGTTTCTTCACAAAAGCAAAAGTAGTATTGTTTTCACTCCAAAGTTTTTACACCAAGAGATGTTAATATTATATTGTAACTGATAATTATTCATTGAAGGGCTGATCCTCTGATGCTTTCAATTTCTACTATGCTAAAATGGATTTGTTTTTACCAAGAAGTTATTCAAATAGCATGACCATCACATTAAAGTCAGGGTCTGATTACCAGAGTACAACTATAAGAAATTCCTATAGCCTGGCTGATGTGGCTCAGCGGTTGAGCATTGACCCAGGAAACAAGAGGTTGCTGGTTTGCTTCCAGGATTATGGGTACAATCCCCAGTGGGAACCATGCAGGAGAGCAGTCGATTGATGATGATGTCCTCTCTCATCAATGCTTCTATCTCTCCATCCCTCTCCCTTCCTCTATCTCTAAAAATCAATAAAAGTCTATTTAAAAAGAAATTCCTATAAAATATCAAATAGTTTATTCTATAGCATCTAAGTTTCTTACAGTACTCACTCTCTTTGCTCAGTATCTGAGATTTTGAAAAAAAGTTGTACCAATATAATGATAGGAATACATAATCTAGCTCTAGGTTGCAAATGTTTCAATCCCAACTCTTTTGCTTACTGGCTATTACCTTGTAAATTAGACTAATTACCTAAATTACAATTCTTTTCCTGTACAAATGAGAATAATAATAGTCTTGACCTGATATGGCTGCTCTGAGAGTGAATTACTACTACATGCAAAGGACTTGGGATAGTGCCTAGCACATGTTCAATTAATTTTACCATTATTATTATTATCAAATATAGAATGCCCACTATTAAAAGTTTAATAGGTTTCTTTATGAAAATGGAAGAAAATATATCCATTAGAATAAACAATTTCTTCTTTAACCTACCCCCAAAACCCAAATACCTCAATCCCTACTCATAGCCAAGTCTGGTTGACTTAATACTCCTTATTTGTGAATCACCAATTCTATTCTTTGCTTTTTTTTTTTTTTTTAATAGATTCAACTCCTAGGAAGTTATAGAGCTGAATCCATGTGTTAGTCACAATGTAAGTGGGCACACACACACACACACACACTTCTCACAAAAATCCTTTATGTTGTATATATCAATCTTATTTTACAGATGAAAACACTGAGGCCCAGAGAGGTCAAACATCTTAGTAACAGTTATATAGTTAGTAAATGGCTAAACCAAGAATGGATCAAAATCTACTAATTTCAGATTCTAGTTCCTTTTTACTACACCTCACATATTTACCTACAATCCCTTTCTCCTTTAATTCACCTATATATAATTAATAGCAGAGGACAACATAGAGAGGTGTTTCCTCATAGTTTACCATATGTTCTTGCCAAAGCACATAGATCTGCAACTTCCCTTTCTGTTCCTCTAATTTCAGGCCAATTTAACTTCCTTTCTGGTGGTAAGAAATGTGGTGCTTCAAGCTAGATTTAGGGCTCCCATGTCTTCCTTCTAAAGATTTTTAAGTACAGCCTTAGAAGTAAACATTTTTCTCTCTCTCCAGAAGTACTCAAAGCAGATGTGTTTGCAGAATCTGATTTTAACAACTAGAGGCCTGATGCACATATTTGTGCATGGTGGCGTCCCTCAGCCTAGCCTGTGGGGATCAGGTCAAAACCCACCCTCTGACATCCCCTGAAGGGTCCTGGATTATGAGAGGGTGGTTCTCGGGTGACGCACCCAGAAATTGGGCTCCCTCCTCTCTGATTCCAGGTCACCAGAACCACCACTGCCAAGTGACCACAGTTCGGCAACTCCTGCGTTGAGCATCTGCCCCCTGGTGGTCAGTGCACATCATAGCTACTGGCTGGCCAGTTGCTTTTATATATAGATATACTAGTGGCTTGGTGCACAAAATTCATGCATGGGGAAGGTTCCCTCAGCCCAGCTTGCACCCTTTCCAATTGGGGACCCCTTAGGTGATGGGATTGGGCCTAAACCAGCAGTTGGACAACCCTCTCCCAATCTGGGACTGCTGTCTCCTAACTGCTCACCTGCCTGCCTGCCTGCCTGATCGCCCCTAACTGCCTAGCTGCCTCCAACTGCCCTCCCCTGCTAGCCTGATCTCGCCCCTAACTGCCTCTGTCTTGGCCCTCACCACCATGGCTTTGTCTGGAAGGATGTCGGACACCCAGAAGATGGCTGATTGACCTGGTCTAATTAGCATATTACCCTTTTGTTAGTATATATATAAATAGATTATATTGGATAGGATTGGTTAAATGGGGAGAGGAGCCTTTTTCAGCAGGAGGAGATGCTCTTGGCAGATAAAAATACATAATCCCTATATCTGGACTGATAGCCAACTATATGCACTATACTGCCAAATCGGTCATTAAAAAATTGAACCGCTTTCTTACACCTTACACCAAACAGCTGTTGCCCTTAAAACACCTCCTCAACCTCCACCTTAGGTTCTACCTTCATAGTTCACCCAGATTAGGTTCTGATTGGTCAGTTTCTATGCCAGTCAGCATCAGAAGCTCTGCATCCTAGGCAGCCATTAACTCCTCGCAGTTCACCCAGATTTGGTTCTGATTGATCAGTTTCTATGCCAGTCAGTATCTCCAGGTCTGATCAGAGAGGCAGGGCTGATCAACAGCCACCCCAGGCTGCTGGCGAGCAAGCTGAACTGCTGATCTCTTGAAGAGAGAGAGGTGCGGCTGCTGATGAGGACCAGAGAGGGAGAGAAGCAGGGACTGATCCACAAAGGTTGCAGATTAGACCCTGCTTCTCTCTCTCTTTCTCTCTCTCTCTCTCAGAGGCTCACCAGCAGATAATCAACCCCACCTCTCTCTCTCCCCAAGAGGTCAGCAGTTCAGCCTGCTCACCAGTCCCTGCCCACTGGAGCCTGCTGTGTGTGCAGCCTGGTGTTTCGTCAAGCCTTTGGTTGTTACGGACTCTGGGTTTTAATATGTTTGGTGTTTAATATGTTTAATATGTTAGGATAGTAATGAACAGAATGAACAAATCTCATCTTTTAAAATGGTAAGAAATGTGAACCTTCTGAATATAACTTGTGTAGGCATGTTTTGGGGGAGTAAAGGAAGCAATGGTAAGCAATGATTATGTTCTCAACCTCAATAGAGGAATTAACAGTTTTCTCATTATAAAAGCCATATGGTACAGTGATAAGAACACTGAACTTAGAAGACCTAACTTGGAATACTTTCTCTGTCACAACCTTTGTGATTTAATAACATACATAAAAGAAGTTGTGAGAATTAAGGCAAATACTTAAATAACATAACTAGCATCTTAAATTTGTTATTGTTGCACTTGAAATCATAAACTTCTTAATCAAATTCACTTCTATACTTTGAAGTACAATATGACACAATATTGTAAAATAGTACACTATGATTTATGAAGTAGATACAAAATATCTACTGTTAAGTATAAAGAAACTTTTCTGCTATAGAGCTAAAAGTTCTTTAAAAATATTCCCTCATTGACTGAACATAAACTGTGCACCTATGGATGAGGACAATGGGGAATGGGGAGGGGGTGGAGGGTGGGGTGGGAACCTGGTGGAGGGGGGAAGAAATGAGGAACCTTTGTAATAATATGAACAATAAAGATTGATTTAAAAAAAATTTAAAAAAATAAAATAAAATAAAAATAAACAAAACAAAACAAACAAACAAAAAAAAAATATATATATATATTCCCTCATTGCCCTAACCAGTTTGGCTCAGTGGATAGAGCATTGGCCTCTGAACTGAAGGGTTCCAGGTTCAATTCCGGTCAAGGGCATGTACCTTGGTTGCAGGCACATCCCCAGAAGGATGTGTGCAGGAGGTAGCTGATCAATGTTTCTCTCTTATCGAGTTCCTAACTCTCTGACCCTTTCCCATTCTCTCTGTAAAAAATCAATAAAATAAATTTTAAAACATTATTAATATTCCCTCATTAAGCTAACAATATTCCTTTTAAATTAAAACAAACCAGAATTTATTAAGTGATTTGTGCTAGGAATTTTATATACATTCTACTCATTTGGCCTTCGCAACAACCTTGATATCAAACTGAGACTCAGAGAAATGAAATAACTTGCCCAAAACACACAGATCCTAAGTGGCAGCAGATCTTGGAATCATACTGAAGTTAGATTGATTCTAAAGCTTGTGCTCTTTTCTTTACATAACATCATCTCTTTGGCTTTCTGACATGGCATCCACAAAAAGCTACATGTCTCATACAAAGTCAAAGAATAATTATTTTCGGTGTAGAAGAAGGCAAATCCTCAGATTTGTTCTACTAGATTAAGTCACCTCCAAATAACATAATATTTTAAAGGTAATTTTCAGACAATTCCTGCTTAATCTAGTTTTGGTCCCCCAAAATGTGCTGGTAGATAAAGGGAACTCAGTCTTTTTCCCACTAGCTAAAGAAATTAATATATTTTCAAGTTTAAGCCTCAGATGTGCAAAGACACTGTTCTAGAATTTTGATAGGAGAAAAAAAATAAATCAAAGAATACATTTCCTGAATCTCTAATGGTATGTTAATAAATAGAATTGCTTCCACTAGAAATGCTTGAACTTACTGCTTCCATAAAGCAGATAGCTTTCTCAATAATCTCCGTCCCCGCCATGAAATTTCGAGTAAATATCACAAAGCAAAATTGGGACCCAGGTGCTTCTGAAGAACTAAATCTGTAAATTAGCAGCTTTGTAATTTTGACAATAAATAATAACATAATATATATTAAATGAGGTGATAAAAGACTGTGAAATGTTTTGTAAGGTGATGGCCATTCTCCCTCTTCATTTAAACCAGTCTGAGCAGGAGCATTATTTTGTTTTTTAATCGAATAAAATTAACTTTACCTCTACCTTCTGCTGCTTACCTATTGCAGAGGATGCTGAGGGCTCCATGTGGGCTACATTCACATGGTAGACAGAGCCCAGAAGTGTGGTTCAGGTAAAAGCCCTCCTTGCAGGTTTCACAGTGAAGCCCTTGATACCCTGACAGACACTCGCACTGTCCTGTGGTCTGGTTGCAGCGATTCACATCCAGGCTTCCAACCACAGAGCAGTTACATACATATTCTGCAGAGAGAAGGAAAGACATTATTAACTAAGATTTAATTCTTTCTTAATAAAATGAACTCTATTTTTCTTAATCAATGTTCATGACAGATTTGTATAGATAGATAAACTAATTCTAGTTCAAATCTACTTTCTATTCTACTTAGTTCATTTATAATAAATTAAGAAATATATATAGTAAAGTACATAAAATTATTTATCATTCGTATTTATAAAACTGACATTTCAATTTCCTTTCCAGTACTCTTCATCTTCTATCTCTTTGACCTTATAATCCAATGTGTGTGGGTCTATATATATTATTAGTTTTTCTGGATTGCAAATTGCCAAAGGCAGGGCCTAAGCTTATCCACCGGACACATGTTGAAAATGACAACTTATTAAATAATAAATAATCCCATTGTAGAGCTGAAAAAGCCTAAGGCTCAAATAGTTAACTGTGATAACTTACATAGATCAGACGAGATTGTACTACAGCTAAAATCATAAGTTAATATGTTCTTCCGAGAAATAAATTAACAGAGAATTGAAACGTTAAGGTGAGAAAATGATAAGATAAATCCCAGGTGAGAAAGTTTACTAATATAGGGTCATCCTGATCAGCGGGTTAAAACCAATCACAATTTCAATCTCTTTCCCAAGTTAAAAGATTTAGAAAATAAACATTTTCTTTAGATATATTTCAAACAGTTCTCTAGATGAAGTTATTTAGAAGTCCTTGGTATTAGCCTTTTAATTCAGATACATTTTAAAGGTCAGTTAGGATTTGGTTTGTGCTATTATTTATACTCATTTTATCAAGAAGAAAGCATTTTCAGCATAGTTTGACACAGTATTAACATGGGACTTTATAAGCATGCAAAAACTTATAGTTAAAATAAACTGCAGATAAAACAAAACTTTGTACATATTTTAGAAATAGCTATGAATCTAGGTTTTAAAGGCTCAGAGAAATCTATCATACAGATTATATTTCTGAATAGATAAGGTATTATATGAAATGCCATTATTCTGACAAGAGTTTAGCTCAAAAAAAAGCTTAAGTGTAATCCCCCCCCCCATGGTTATAAGGTTACTCAAGGGTCTTTTTTCCCCCCATTAAATGTAATTTTTGATGATTTCTTAAAAGTTACTAAATAACTGAAAATCCAGAGTTTTATAAAGGAGTTTATTTCTCTAGTCTAGAAAAGGAAACTAACCTTCAAAAACATTTATGTCATCAGAAGCAGTTTATTCAGACAAGTCAAAACAAAGGATTCCACACAGATATTCCCATGTGGCCAACTCTGTACCTTCCACATTTCTTCAGTTCCTAACCTTCAGTGTCAGCTTATCTCCCTGCTCTTTCCACCTGTTCTAATTTGTAAATTTACCAAAAATAAATAAATAAATATATATATATATATATATATATATATATGATTATTTTATGTATATGTCAAGCTTGTTACAAACCTAGAGTTAAATTCAGATTTCTTCAGCCCCAAACTTCAGAAAGGAATCAGCTTTCAATCTCAATCAATATACTTATTTTTATTAGCTATATAAGCATGACATTTTTTGGACAGAGTTACATTTTCACATTATTTCGTGTGTGTGTGTGTGTGTGTGTGTGTGTGTGTGTGTGTGTGTGGTTTTTGTAAATAAGGAAGCCATGTTTAGTGGTCTGTTAACCTGCCAATGACAACTTCATGGCAAGACCTTCATTCCACCAAAAATGACCAGAATGCTTAAAATAACACTTTTCTTCCAAAATATGGCAGAACTACAACATGCATCCAAATTCCTACTGCTGAGCCAATTTCACCACAAGTTACCTAACCAAATTATACTAGTAGAGGCAAACTAGCTAAAAAAAAAAAAAAAAAAAAAAAAAAAAAAAAATGTTTATTTAACTCTATAGTAAAGACTGCGAATTATGCTCTGGCTAGTGTGGCTCAGTTGGTTGGCATGTTGTTCCATGAACAAAGGGTCGAAGGTTCAGGTTTCACTTTCAATCTCGGTCAGAGCACATATAGGAGGCAACTGACTAAAGTTTCTCTTTCATATCTCTCTCTCTCTCTCTCTCTCTCTCTCTCTCTCTCTCTCTCTCTATCTCTATCTCTATCTCTATCTCTATCTCTCTCCTTTCTCCCCTTACCCCTTCCTCTTTGTCTAAAATCAATAAAAACATATCCTTGGGTGAAGATCTAAAAAAAAAAAAAAAAAAAGACAGAATTTTATCCTGTTATTTCCTTACTAATATATATTCATCTGAAACCTAAATTAGTATTCCAAATAAATAATTAGTAGTATTTTTTTTCTTAAAGAACTCAATCTAATAACTCTGAGGCAAAATTAAGGTTCTTCTTCAATAAAGTTTTAATGGATAAATCTTCAATACTAACCAAGTTCATTAGTTATTTCTATAGAGGCAATTCAAACTCTTCAATATCCCCTGAATATATTTTTCTATCCCATCTTTGAACCTTTGCTCATTTTGTTCCTCTTGAAATGCTTTCTCCTCTCCACATATTCAAACCTATTTCAAGAATCAGTTGAAATTTACTTCTTCATAAATTCAAACTCTACTGTTTTTAGTGTGAATCCCTAACATCTACCAGTTATAACTCTCATGTGACAATAAAGTGAAGCAGTTTTGAACACAGACTGTAGAGGCAGACAGCTGCAGGTTAAATCTACTTCTCTCACTTATTAACTTTATAACCTTAAGCAAGTTAGCCAACCTTGTACCTTTCTTTTCTCATATGTAGAAGGGCATAATGTAGTACTTATGACACTTAGCCCCAACATCTAAGCTGGAAGTAATTTAGAGTACTGTAATAATTAATACAATTGCTGGTGGAAATGAATACCTAATTTAAAAAAAACACAATTCAGATGTCAGATTCATAGGCCACACAGCTTTGTTGTAGCCTGTGGACAAGATCTGAAAGCCCAATTTTTAAACTGTTTGAAAACAGAAATATAAAGGCCCAAAGAAAAGACTATTCACTAATGTTTTTATCTGAGAACTAGAACTTATGGGATAATTTTGATGTAAAAGTATTCTAAGTAATTATTGCATTTAAATTTAAAGTTGTGGGCCATCTATAAGTAGATAATAAAATGGTATCTCACATATGCCTGGCTCTATACATTACTAATATGGGTTCCTGTAAATACAATGACAAAAACAGAAAGGTTTAGGACATGGTTTCAGAGAGGACGAAAAAGAGCATTTATTCCTAACAGTAGTAACATGAATGGCAAATATTTCAGCAAGACAGACCATCTGACTTCCAGGAAGAGAGCTGATATATCAAGACAAAAACACATTATCATGTTAGCATTCCTCTCCAAATTAACCAAAGGAAAGGAAGCTGAAGCAAAGCCCAGGAAGATGTGCATCTTTTCTGTTTGGAACTCAGAATCCAAGGCCCTAACCCAGGGATTGACCTCAAATGAAATGACTCAAGTTAAATAAACAACCTGAGCAACAGTAATAAATGTAAAGTACCATGAACATCCATTTACTATATCAGGAAAACTTGCTAACTTGTCAGTAGAATAAAATGTCAGAGCTTTCACAGTTATTAATATTCATATTCATTAACTCTAGACAGGAGTTAATGCAGAAACAATGCAATTTATTAGGAGGTGGGCAAAATGAAAAGAAATAAAATTTCAATTGACAGAAGCAATAGGTAGGACCTATAGCCAAAGAAAAGAGATGGAACACTGATTTTTTTAATGAAGTAGAATATAGACACCAAAGCAGCACAAAGGAGTCTGTAACATGACTAATGGATGATAATGAGAACGAAATAATATGAAGAGGACACAAAAAGGTAATCACAGACAAGTCTGAATAAAATGCCAAAAGCTCATTTGGTTGCCTAAGATCAAATATGGAATAAACTCTGTCATTTCAGTAGCAGTTTTCCTTTCAGTCACCTATAATTCTTAGGAAAACTCTATAGAGAAATAGAGAAGAATGTTAGTGTGTAGAAAGCAAATGTTAGCAGAGAGACTGCAACCTTTGGCATTGTTTTTTCTTTTTGTTTGGCTTCTGAAGAGCAATGAAACACAGTGATTTGAACCCTGAAGAATAAAAATATAAAATGTGGTGCCAAACTGTTTGAAAATAGACATATAAAGGCCCCAAAAAAGGACAATAAATTTGTGTTTTTCTCTGAGAACTTGAATTTATGGAATGTTTTTTATGTAAAAGTATCCAAAGTAATCCTTGCATTTAAATCACACACTGTACTTTTTGAAACATTCCCTACCAAGGACCAAGAGATGAAAAATTTTAAGCACCTAAAAAATATCATAGAGTAATTCTGTTTAGAAGTCCCACAAGTCACCCCACTCCACCCCATGCACAAACACCTGTCATTGTAAAGATAGTATCTCCTTAAACAAACTTAAGATCTCTTCTGGACCTTTCATACATCTGCCAGGCTTCTCTCTGTGTGAAACTTAAACCACCTCATGTCCCTGCCCAGTAAAAAGTTCATTATATCTTCTAGAAAATTTTAATTGTGTTTTGTATCTGCAGCTACTTTGATGAGAATAAACTGATTTTAGAAAAATTTTAATTGTGATAGTATGTTCTAATTAATGTGTCCTTGGTCTTCCTGTACCTCTTTCTGGAGTCCTTTCTGGGAGGTGTAATGAACTATGATGTCTGGAGACTCAAGCAGTTTTGTACAATACTGTGTTAATCTTTTGCAGGTAAGAACAAACTTTAAGGCAGTAAAGAAAGGATATGAGTAAGGAGATGAAAAAATTGGATCCTCAGTCAATTCATGATGCAAATCTTATACAACAAAGAAATGTAAATTGATAACAGTATTGTTGCTGAACTAAAATGGTTACAAAGTAAGTATTGCATAGATACTGCAAAAATACTTGTAAATATAACTAACACAGACCATTTACAAAAATCTAGTTCAGGAATATAGCCTGAAATTCTATCTATAGCCTCTTGCAAAATTATAGAAATACTTTTGAAA